ATTCCCCCCCCCCCCCGGGACGGTGGGGGGGGAATTCTGGGGAGTTGAAGTCCACACATTTTCAAGTTGCCAAGATTGAGAAACACTGCTCTAGAACAATGGAGCTGGGTCACAGCCTCCTTCAGTGTGATCTTTTCTTGACGGTAACAAAGATTTCTTAAGCCTCATGTGGTTTGGGATTAACTGCTGAAGTTCATTCTGACTTAAAGTGCAAATATTATGGCCTATGTTGCTCTTTAAAAAACCAGCAATAATTAGGTATTTTTTTAATCTACTGTACATTCTGTTTATATTTTGTTTTGGATCCATTATGGAATGTGGCAGTGCTAAAATTGCTTTTGTATCATGCACAAAACATAGTCTTCTGTCTAATTTATTCACACTTTTCAGAGAGGAATAATTTTTAGAATAGTTTATTTAAAAGTAGATTTCAAGATCACCTTTAGAAAATGAACTTTCCATACAAATTTCACAATGGGCAGTATAGCTGAAACCTAGCCTTTCCATCACTTGAGGAGGAATACAGCAGATTCTGAACTCTGGCTAATGCATTTATAATTTCAGTGTTATGATTTATTTGCTTGCTTGCTTAGTCCACAGTAACATCTTTGGCTAGATTGTTCTCTCACTGCCTCAGATCTAGCTTGCAATCTTGCATCATGCTTTGGGGAGGGAAAAAAAAATGGGTTGTGGAAGTGTGTAGGAACCTGCTGTTAGAAGGGAAAATGATATGGCATCTCCTTGTCCTAAGTCAGCAAACAGTCCCCTGACATGTGATCTGGTCTGTCCTCAACTCGCTACTATTTCCTGCTTTGAAACTGACCCAGGGCTTCATGTAGCTTCATAACTACCCTAAGATATTTGCAAATGATGTTTCTTAGGAAAGACTGCCTTGGTGTAATTTTTTCTCCATTGGCTTTTGTCCTTTGAAGTCAACAGCTCAGTAATTAGGAATGACTGGGGAAGCATGAAATAACTTGCTATTGTATTTTAATTGATGAGCTTTCTACTGTGAATGAAAAATAATCAGATCCACCTGATTATTTTAAACACTATATTATTGTCCAAATGAGGGGAGGGAGCTGCACAATTGCCCCCTTTGAAAAGGACCTCTATGAATCACGTATTTTACCTTTTCCAAGTGAAATTCTTAGCAATGCACCCCCAGTGCCTCTTGTCTGTTTTCTCAGCCTAAGCCTTCGCAAAAGAGGCGACAACTAAACTCTGCAGGACTTTCTCCATATGCCTGAGACAGGTTTGTGAGAAGTGGAGGAGGAGGAGGAGGAGGAGGAGATGACAACTTATTTTCCAACCTCTTCTTCCTACAAGCCCTAATGAAACAGATGGAAGTCTAAATAAGGGAGGGAGAGACAGTAGAACTGGGGGAGGAACAATGAGCTCCTGTCCCATTCAGTACATGCCAGCCAGCTTTGTCCATCTCATCTTTAGAAGAAAGCTGCTACTTATAGCTTTTTTTTTTTTAATTGTGCTTAAGGTCAGAATGGATGGGACACAAATGGACGCAGAGTACGGTGCCCCTATGGCATATTTCCACATTCTTTGAGACTCACTTTTAATTTTTTTTTAGGGCCTCTTTTGGGAGTATTAATTAAAAGGAACAAGTTCTCCTGAATGTGCATTAACTTTGTTAAATGGGAGTATTCAAGTTTGCTATTAAAGGGAACAACGATGTGTCACCAGCATTGCTGGTTAGAATAGTTGAATACCTTGCAGTCAACTTTATCTTCCTGGTAGTAATTTTCTTTTTGTATTCTTGCTCCAAAAGACTGCTGAAGAAGCCTTATGTAACTCCTTGAGTTACTCTTTTTATCGCCACAAAGCTCTTGTGTGGAACTGCCTTGTTAATATTTTTGTATCCTCTTCATCATCACAGTTCTGTTTTTTCTTTGGAAGCTCATGGCAGCATGCACTAGTGTTATCCCTACAACAACAACCTTGAATGAGAATAACTGGCTTAAACTCTCCAGTCCAAGTTCAACATCTTACATTAGTCTACCGCTTCATAAGTGAGTCATATTTGTAACCACCTTGTACTTGGGGTGA